CTCTCTCTCTCTCTCTCTCTCTCTCTCTCTCTCTCTTTCTCTCTCTCAGTCCACCTACAAGGAAAACAGTCTTTAATTTTATCAAAAGAAACTCTATGGTAGCTAGAGAGATGGTTCTGTCAGTAAAGTCCCTGAGTTTGGGTCCCAGCATTCATGTAAAACCCAGGTGTGGGAGCAGTCTCCTCGGTGCTTGGGAGGCCAAGACAGGTGGCTCCCTGGAGCTCATTAGCCAGCCAGCCTTGCTAAGTCACTGAGCTCCAGGTATAGTGAGAGACCCTGTCCAAAAATAGAGTAGAGGGGGTGGAGATATGGCTCAGCAGTTAAGAGTACTGGCTCTTCTTGCAGAGGACCAGGTTCAATTCCCAGCACCTACATAGCAGCTAACAACCATCCTTAACTCCAGTTCCAGAGGATCTGATGCCCTCTCTGGCCTCCATGGGCATTTGCCTGCACAGGTGTACTTAACATACATTCAGGTAAAACACTCACATAAAAATAATAATCAAAAAACAATAAAGTGAAGGCCAATCAGAGAAGACACCTGACATTGATCTCTGGCCTACATATATACTTGCACACAACCACACAGGTACATATGCTATACGCACAACACAGACGAATGAAAGAGTCTTTATGGTTTGCATTCCGATTAGATCAAATAGAATGCATTTAAAACCTGTTGTATTCCATTCAGCAGATATCTCCTGTACTTGGTCTGTAGTGAACATTTCAGCTACAAAGTTTGTCTTTTTTCATTGAGTTAGTCTATGAAGATGAGAAATGTGAAAGAAGACAAAATAAGTGATAATAATTTTCAGGGCTGGGGGTGTAGCTCAGTGGTAGAGCACTTGCCTAGCGTGTTCAAGGCCCTAGTTCCTTCCTAGCACTACAGTAACAAACAAATAAATAAATGGAAATTTAAAGAATAAGTTTGTTTTACTATACATTAGACACTATTCAAAGTATTTGAACATATTATCTAATCTTAGTATCAACCTTGTAAAATAAGTATTATTATCAACCCCATTAAAAATTCTTCTTCTCCTCCACCTCCTCCCCCTCCGCCTCCCCCTCCTTCGTTTTGGGGGTTTTGAGGCAGGATCTCAGGTTGCCCAGGCTGGCTTTGAACTTAAGATGGCCTGATTGCCCCTTCACCTGCCTCCACTTCCTGAGTGTTGGGATTACAGGTGTGTATCACCGTGCTCAGCTTTAACCCTATTTTTAGATGGCAAAATTGAAGCACCGAATTTAATGGGCCTTGTGTGAAGTGGCATGACTAGTGAGTGGCAGAGATGGAATTTGAACTAGCCCGTGTGGCCCTCGGATGGTGTGGTTCTCACCCTGTACATTGCACTTTCCTGTACAGGGCCAGACCCTGTCTGAGGAGAAACTGAATCAAGTCCTTTCACCGCTGTCGTCTTACTCAGGTTTCTTTTTCATCTTACTCTGAAGTCTCTCAATTTCATTTTGGCTCTTAGAATTTTTTATTTATTTTGTTTTTCTGAGACAAGGGTCTCACTGTGTAGCCCAAGCTGGCCTGTGACTTGTGATTTTCCTGCCTCTTCCCCCCAGGTGCTGGGTGTACAGGCATGAGCCACCATACCAAGCTGTATAAACTCTTGTAATAAATTCAACTATATCTCAGAGTTTTAAAAGTTCCTATTTTAAAATCTTACACAGTCTATCTCTTCTCTTTTAAGTGGGAAGTTCCCTTTCTAAGCCAGACCTCATCACCTTGCTAGAGCAAGAGAAAGAGCCCTGGATGGTTGTGGAGAGAGAAACCAGCAGGCAGAACCCAGGTGAGTGAGACTGCCTCAGCCTCAGGCACAGGCACGTGGTCAGAGAAGAGCCCCGTGCCTGAGGCTGGGTTTGGCAAACTTCCTTCAAAGTCTCAGGCCTGTTTAAGAAAATGCCTGGAACTTGGGAATGAATTCACGGTCACAGCAAAAGCAGCCAGAGACTTCGTTTCTCACCAGTCAACCGTATTTTCTATTTCCCCTTTTACTGGAGCAGGCACCCTCTCTCAATATAATTTTTAAAAACTATTTTACTATTTGTAATGTCTGTGTGTATGTGTATGCCCACATGTGTGTGGATGCCTGCAGAGGCCAGAAGAGGGTGTTAGATCTCCTGGGGTTGGAGTTATAGTCAGCTGTGAGTCACCAGATGTGGGTGCTGGGAACTGAACCTGGGTCCTCTGCAAGAGCAGCAAGGGCCGTCACTGACCATGTCTCCTGCCCCTTAATGTAAGATTCTAACTCTGTTTTGGACGCAGCTGTTTGCTAGCCCTGCTTTTGCACTTAGATTTCCATGTGTTTCCACTGTTTAAAATACACATTCGCCTATTAATTAAAAAAATGTTTTATTTATTGTTTTTATTTAATATGTATGAGTGTGTTGCCAGAATGTATGTGAGTGCACCCATGTTGTGCAATGCCACGGAGGTCACAGATTCCCCTGGAACTGGAGTTAAGGACGATTCGTAGCCGCCATGTGGGTGCTGGGCCCACAGAGGCCAGAAGAGGCTGTTGAATCCCCTGGACCTGGAACTGGAGATAAGGACAGTTAAGCTTCCATGTAGATGCTGGAACTGAACCCAGGGTCCTCTGCAAGAGCAGCCAGTGCTCTTAACTGCTGAGCCAGCTCTTCAGCCCCATCCTTCATTCTTTATTGATGAGCTGCACTACATCTGTAAAAAGAAGCTTTGCCTCACTTTCTACTTGGTTACTCAGTTAATATAATAATATGCTTACCAATTTTCAAAATATTGAGTTTGTTTCCTAGCATCCTTTCAAAGATGACCTTGTTTTAAGAGTATTATGAGTATATAGTATTAAAATATTTGCTACATCTCATCGTGTCATTGCTTTCGTCAGTGTTCCGATTGTCTCATCGCTGGCCAGTGGAGGTGCCCTCAAGCTGTTGCCTGAGTCCCTTAACGTGACCCTGATAGTTTTGAGAGATTCCTTGTTATCTAGAGAGTTGCTTTCAGGGTTCAGCGGTGAAGAGCACTGGCTGCTCTTACAGAGAACCTGGGTTTGGTTCCCAGCACCCACATGGTGACTGACAACTGTCCATAACTCCAGTTCCAGGGGATCTGACACCCTCCTCTTGGGACCTCTGTGGCATTGCACGACATAGGTGTGCTTACATCCCTGCAGACAAAACACTCATACACATCAGGTAAAAATAAAATTTAAAAAATTTGTTGCTCTTGACCCATCTTGTGTATTTTCTTTTCCAACTGTGCAATCTGCTGTTTTTCTAGGCAAATGTCAATGTATGGAAAGTAGTATTTCAAGCCCACCGTGTGAGTGCCTGGGAAACGACTTGCTCTAGTTAGCTCATTGGTTTTGGACAGTCCAGGGTACTGAGCTAGGAAGGAAAGATGTGTGGTTAAAGCAGAAACACTTAGTTCACATGATTTCTCCAACTCATTCCCAGGGTTACAGGATGTTTACTTGACCAGTTCTGTTTTCAGCTTCTGTCTTGTTTCTCTTGGCTGAAGTCCCTGGTTCCCAGCAGTTCTTGGGGTAACAGAACTTCCAGGATTACTGATTTGTGTTATGTAACAATGTGTGACACAGTCTAAGAATCACAACGCTAGCACTACAATAGCTGTGTGCCTTTGAAAACAGCTCATGTCCTCCAGTTTTCAGCTTCACTGTTCATGTGCATCAAAATGCATAGACGTGTCCTGTAATCTCAGTTTTGTAATCCTCTCTTGTTTTTGTTTTTTTTTCTTTTTGAGACAGCATCTCCCTGTCCTTCTCTTGATTTGCATCAGAGAGAAGGAGATGGGAGGGGAGGGGGTGGGAGGAGGGGGGATGGAACGGAAGAGGGGAGGGGGGAGGAGAGAAGAGAGAGAGACTCTAGTGTCTAGTCGGTTTGGTTGTTTAGACTTTTCTTCTTGTAGACTTGTTGTGCTCAGTTCACGAGACCCCGAAGACCACCAAGGAGCCGACCGATGCAAACACATAAGGATTCTTTTATTGTTACAAGCTTACGCTTGGGTCCACTCTGTCACCGACTCAGTGGATCTCAGATGTGAGACCCCTTGCTTTGGGAGACAGAGGTTTTTATAGGTTTATTTCAGCAAGTTCAGCAAGTAGGGGGTCTCCAGCCTGGCAAGCATCTGATTGCCCAGTGCCAAACCATAAACTGCTGGCTTCAGGAAATCTGAAGAGATAGCTGGACTTTTAGTACTTTCCTGTCCCTGGCTAATTGACTGTTGGCAGGGGAGTTGTTCTCTATCTGTTCCAAGTATACTTTTTTGTGGTTTTTCCTGGAACAGGGTTAAGGGATGGGTCAGTCCCATGGAGATTTTATCCAAGATGGAGTCACTCAGGTCTCTCATTCCCCGCTCTGACTAGTACCTTGGGGGCCCAATCATGGGCACTCCTTCATCTCATGTTCTTCATCACCAGACTCTGGAGGGACTGATAGTGGGTATCGGTTGCTCTCATGTTACCTTAATAAGATCTCCTCCCTCGGGGGGGGGGTCCACCATATGTGTCCCATTGTTTACAGCCCCAGCAAGCACAATAAGTAGTGCTATCCCCTCCACACCTGTTTTTCTGGGACTTGTATTTTGGAGTTTCAGGCCCTGGGCAAACATAGAACCGGCCTGGTTTTCTGTATGGGCCTGGAGAGTTAGTTAGAGTGTAAGGATGTATGCCTCCCTTAGGATTGAAATCAAAGAAAGCATTTAAACGGGAGTGCAGAGTTGGGAACCAAGTATCTGGAGGTGCTACTTGGGAGATCTGAAACAAAATATTGCCTCCTGTCACATCTTGGAGGACCCAAGTCAGATTCATAGGTTGATGTAGACTTCCCGAAGCAGGAGCGGCTATCATGGGGAACAGAGTATATACAGTCAACAGTTTGAAAATCGGGTGAGCTTTAGCTTGAGTGGATTGTTGGGGTCCTTTGAAACTCTCCATCCTGAAGCTAGGGATGCGCAGTCCTCTACGGTGAACAGGTTGGCTGGCCGTACGTGTGCGTGGTGGACCCATGATGCTACACCATCCGTTTTGAGGGCTGTGGGGGTGGTCAGTAGGATGACATAGGACCCCTTCAACTGTGGCTCTAAGGATCCTTGTTGATGCCTCTTAACGTAGACCCAGTTACTGGGTCGATATTGATGAGGTTCTGGAGGGGATCCTGTCTCATAAAGAGCACATAGTTTAGGCCACACATGTTTATGGGACCATTGGATTCCCCTGAGGTCATCCAACAGGTCCCGATCTTTAAATTCCGTTATCTTCTCTGCCTGGAGGTTAGGAATAATGGGAGGGGGCATTCAAAACATGATCTCAAAGGGGGTTAATCCCATCTGGTAAGGGGTGTTACGTACTTGATAGAGTGCAAACGGAAGGAGAAGTCACCCAGTCACCGCTAGTCTCTAAGGTCAATTTAGTTAAGGTCTCTTTCAGAGTTCTATTCATTCTCTCTACTTGTCCTGAACTCTGGCGTCTATAAGCACAATGTAGTTTCCAATCAATCCCCACAATAGGTTAGGAATAATGGGAGGGGGCATTCAAAACATGATCTCAAAGGGGGTTAATCCCATCTGGTAAGGGGTGTTACGTACTTGATAGAGTGCAAACGGAAGGAGAAGTCACCCAGTCACCGCTAGTCTCTAAGGTCAATTTAGTTAAGGTCTCTTTCAGAGTTCTATTCATTCTCTCTACTTGTCCTGAACTCTGGCGTCTATAAGCACAATGTAGTTTCCAATCAATCCCCAGAACTGTGGCCAGACTCTGACTTACCTTGGACACAAAAGCTGGTCCATTATCTGACCCTATCATCTGTGGAAAGCCATATCTGGGGAGGATGTCTTCCAACAGTTTCTTTGCCACCATTTGAGCTGTTTCATGTTTAGTAGGGAAGGCTTCAGTCCATCCTGAAAAAGTATCTACAAAGACTGGCAAGTAACGATATCCATACCTGCAAGATTTTACCTCAGTGAAATCCGTTTCCCAATAGGCTCCAGGTTTTTCTCCCTCGAAGTCTGATTCCTGGGTTTCTAATATTTGGCACCACATTAGTGAGTTGGCAAGCATTACAGCCATTGACAGTGTCTTTAATCTTAATTAGTGTCCTTGATTTTTACCTCAGCATGTCGAATTAAGTCCTGCATCCTCTTGATGTCCATGTGGGAAGAATGGCGTATCTTTGCCAACATATGTTTTCCTAATTTTTCCAGGAGGATCAGCTTCCCTTCTGCTGGCCTCCACCATCCTTCCAGGCATTGGGTCCTCGGCAGTCCCTTTATCCATTTCAGGTCCTCCCCAGTGCATTTGGGCTTTTCAGGGAGGTTTGGGTCACCTGGGTCAATTAGTGTGGTGACCAAGATTGAGTCAATTTGGAGGGCAGCTTGTTTAGC